TTCCAAAGGATCTCCTCTATGGAGAATTAGTGCAGGGAAAGCGCCCCAGAGGGAGACCACAACTGCGATACAAGGACTTCTGCAAGCGAGATCTGAAGGCCTTAGGAATAGACCTCAATGGATGGGAAAACCTGACATCTGAGCGTTCAGCCTGGAGGCAGGCGGTGCATCACGGCCTCTCCCAATTTGAAGAGACCCTTGCCCAGCAGGCCGAGGCAAAGAGGAAGTCACAAAAGCAGCAAAACCAGGGAGCCGGACAGGGGACAGACTGGATTTGTCTTCAGTGTGGAAGGGACTGTCACTCTCGAATTGGCCTTCTCAGCCACACTAGGCGCTGTTCCAAGCCCTCCATACAGAGCACGCTGCCATAGTCTTTCGAGACTGAAGGATGCCTAACTATGGTATTGTATACCACTGAGAGCTGTACCATCACCAGAATTTATAGGTTGTAAACTGGTAGCCAAAAATTGGTGAGAGAAGTAGCAGCGTGCTATGGTGCACAAGTGTGCGAAAATGTGCCCTCCTGGATAGCTCAGTATTTAGGCATCAGGCAGCAGAGGTAGAAGGTAGGAGTTCAATTCCTCACTGTGCCTCCTTGACTGGCCTCCTTGATCAATGATCCATACAGTCTCTTCCAGCTCTGCAGTCCTAAGATTATTATTCCCTAGTGTTTTTTATTTGTTTGTTTTTTCCATTTGGCTCAATCTGGTTCTCAGGGTGCTAGTAAAAAAAAAGTAGCACACAAGCTTGATTAAATATGTGTGACCAGCAGCTTTCCAGATCGCTATGGCCAATGCTGTCACTTCCATTCTATGCAATGAAAATCCAATGGGATTCTGATCAAAATAGTTTAATATATTTTAAGTGATCTACATTTTGTATATTTTGTAAGATATGCTACTGCAATCATTTAGACGCAAGAAAATAGTTGTGTATATATATATATATTTGCCTGTTACTTTCTTATACAGTGGTGCCTTGACTTACGACCATAATTCATCCCAGAAGATGGACGTAACTCGAAATGGTCGTAAGTCGAAGAACCATTTCCCATCGGAATGCATGGGAACACAATTAATCCATTCCAGAAAAAAAAACCAAAATAAAATAAAACGCTGCAAGCCCCATAGGAACACGCTGGGGCTGCAAAACAAAACAAAACACACACACACACACACACCCAAAATAAATAAATGAAGCCCCTAAGGCGCTGGGGCTGCAAAAAATAAAGCAAAACCCAAAAATAAACATCGGAGAAAGCCCCACACTGAGACTGGAAAAAAAATCACCAAAAAACAAAACAACACAGCACAGAAACATAAACCCCCCCCCAGTGCAAACCCACCATGCAAAAGCCACCCAGAACAGTTTTTAAAAAGCAAAAAGCAGCACCTTACCTTACCAGGCAGTCCGAAGCTTCCTCCAATCGCACTCACTCCCCGGCTGCAGCCGAGGCAGATGCTGCAGGGCCAGCCATGGAGGAGGGCAAGGCCGGGGCAAGTGGCCGGAGCACCCCAGCCAGGCTTAGCCTTCCGGCGCCAGGACGCTACCCCACGCCCATTGTATTTCATTGCTCCACTATTTTTTTATCATTGTAACATACTGATATTTTGCCTTCATAGTCCCTACAGAGAATCTAATAAATAAAAATATATTTTCTCTAAAATGACATTTGGGGAACTTAAAAATCATGATCATACAATTTCTGCAATTAATAAAAATTCACTCAAGCAAATGTGCTGAGGTAATCTATTATCTTTATCTCATGGTAGAAATCAAAAAGCTATCAGTATTCGAATCATTTTCACAGAATATGAAGGTTTACCGAAGTCTGCTTTACTCCTCCTACCCTGAGGGAAGTATCTGATATGAGGGAAACGAGTATTTTAATGCAGCATGATTGTGTTTAGTGCTATTGATAAGATTTGAACTGTATCAGTTGCCTGTTTGATATATTTGCAATTGATTAAATAAATAAGTTGAAGATCAACTTTGTCATTCTTAGTACATTATTTTTTCCAGTTGTGAAAAAATTGATGTACCTTTTAAAGTACATATTTGTTTGAGTCTTTTCATGTTACATGTTCACATTAATCAAACCAATTTATCTTTCAGTATTTTCGATTCAGCTGGGATTCATGCTGTTAACTTTCTTCTTTTCTACAAGGTATGTGATGGCAGTAAAAGTTCTCTGTATGACCAAACAGAATACTTAGGTGCAAAATGAAAGAAGCTTGTCCTTTCTTGTGTGGCTCAGGTTGAACCCTCAAGTTCCAATCTGTAGTCTGGGAAGACTCATGAATCTGAGAAATAAAAGCCAGGATCTAGTAGTTTGATTCCCCTGGAATTTCCATCAGAACAAGCAACCTCCCTCCCCCACCATACAGCCTCCCCCCCAATACATTAGAAAGAAAAAAAAATGTGGCAGAGAACTAGGAGACTTTCTAAAGCAGGTCTTTCGTATTATGGAGGCACAAGGCAATGGAGGCAAAAGGAAAAAATGTGATGTAATATTTTATTAATTATGATACTGTGTATATACAAGTAAAAAAAACTAATACATTTTGCTACCCTCTATATGACCAAACAGAATCCTTAGGTGTGAAATGACGGAGGTTTGTCCTTTTTTGTGTGGCTCAAGTTGAGCCATCAAATGTACTTCTTCTTTTACTGAATTTTGTTGAGAATACAGTGGTGCCTCGACCTGTAACTTGAAATGTTCATAAGTCAAAGCACCATTTCCCATTGAAATGCATTGAAATGCGATAAATCCGTTCCAGCTGTTTTTTGGTTGTATCTTGAGGCGCTGGTTCCAAGTCGAAGCATTTGTTCCCATAGGAACGATTGCAAAAGCGGTTAATCCATCCTCTACCACTAGGGGAAGTTTTTTTTTCTTCTTTTAACCTAAGATGACTTAGGTTTAAAAAAGGGCATGAAAGGAAGGAGGGAGGGAACAATGGGGAAAAGAGAAAAGAAAGAAGGTCATCACTGGGGTACACAGACCCCTCAGACAAAAGTTTGTGCTGTTAAGCACAAAAAGAGAGAAGACAGAGAGAGAGTAGACAATGGGGGGGTAGAGAGACTTGAGTCTAAACCACATTTTTACACCATGCCAGCAGGCAGAGCCCCTTTTCTGATTGTAAAACAAAAAGATTTTGGAGTCTAAACCACACTTTACACCATTCCAGCTAGCAGAGCTCCTTTTCTGATTTTAAAACAAAAAGACTTTGGAGTCTAACCCCCCCCAGCCCAAAACCACACTGAAAACCCCACCCAGAACACACAGTTTTTAAAAAGCAGAAAGCAGCATGGTACCTTACCAGGCAGTCCCAAACCTCCCTGCAAACACACACATACTCTCACTCAGAAGCAGAAGCTAGGCACCAAGCCTCTTCCGATGCACACACTCTCACTGTTGGGGCAAAAGAGCTACAAAGAAGCTCTTTGCCGACCAATGGTTAGTCCTCTAATTTGAATTCCTCACCTTTTTCCCTGGCTGTTTTTGGGTTGTATCTTGAGGCACCGGTTCCAAGTCGAAGCATTTGTTCCCATAGGAACGATTGCAAAAGCGGTTAATCCATCCTCTACCACTATGGGAAGATTTTCTTCTTCTTTTAACCTAAGATGACTTAGGTTTAAAAAAGGGCATGAAAGGAAGGAGGGAGGGAACAATGGGGAAAAGAGAAAAGAAAGAAGGTCATCACTGGGGTACACAGACCCCTCAGACAAAAGTTTGTGCTGTTAAGCACAAAAAGAGAGAAGACAGAGAGAGAGTAGACAATGGGGGGGTAGAGAGACTTGAGTCTAAACCACATTTTTACACCATGCCAGCAGGCAGAGCCCCTTTTCTGATTGTAAAACAAAAAGATTTTGGAGTCTAAACCACACTTTACACCATTCCAGCTAGCAGAGCTCCTTTTCTGATTTTAAAACAAAAAGACTTTGGAGTCTAACCCCCCCCAGCCCAAAACCACACTGAAAACCCCACCCAGAACACACAGTTTTTAAAAAGCAGAAAGCAGCATGGTACCTTACCAGGCAGTCCCAAACCTCCCTGCAAACACACACATACTCTCACTCAGAAGCAGAAGCTAGGCACCAAGCCTCTTCCGATGCACACACTCTCACTGTTGGGGCAAAAGAGCTACAAAGAAGCTCTTTGCCGACCAATGGTTAGTCCTCTAATTTGAATTCCTCACCTTTTTCCCTGCCTCTTTTGATCGCAACTCGAAGCTCCAGCTGCAAGTCGAAGCAAAATTTTGCAGCCAGAGCTGGTTGTAACTCGAATTGGTTGTATGTTGGGGCATTTGTAAGTCAAGGCACCACTGTATTGCTTTATATTTTTGAACATTTGGTACAGTATTTCGAAAAAAATCCACCAGTCATGTCATACCATGTTTGAGCCCATGGTTGTGTAGAATAACATAAGTGCGATTATTTGTGTGATTTTTATGACTGAAAGAAGAGCACTTGCAGTCTGTGAGGCCAGTGCCAGCAGTCAGTATGGTGAGGATCCATGCTCGCCCCACCAGTTGAAGAAAATTGCCAAGACCAATGGGGGTTCAGTTGGCACTGTTAATTGCTGCTCTCACTACCAGCTATTCCCTCTGTTACACCAAATGCATTTACTTGATAGGCAGTGGTGCTTTTGGAAGAAAGGAAATAGAGTTTTTCCTTGGCTCCATTCTACTGTGGGTGGAGAAGATCTTGACCTTCCCCAGAACAAGGCGTGCAGTGTCCTGCATTGTATTTTGGGAAGGACTGGTGGCAACTGTACAGTAGCACTTGATAGAGATCCCTGTGACAGCTTGGATGTGAGCATTGTGACCTGGGGTGATGCTATGGAGCCCAGGCTGGTGCTTGGGGAGAGAGAACAGTAGCACCATGCCAAATGTCCATTGATATCTGTCCCTGACTTTGGCAGTCTTTTTGTGTGTTGCCCAGGTCTCACTTACACTTCCCTTTGCAATCCCAGTACTACCACTGCCTGGGTCCTTATGAATAAGCAGATAACTGGTCAGAATGGGGCAGGAATGCAAGATTCCAAAAGATATTTCCATAGGGCCGAAAACAACTTGTGCTGGCATTACGGACCTCACACATTTATTAGAGTTTACTTTTAAGAATATCTGCAGCCTTTTTTTTTCAAACTTAAAACTTTATAAATCGCTGTTAATGTGATACTATGGATTTTCAGAAGGATTTTGTTGTTGTTGTTTAGTCATTAAGTCTCCGACTCTTTGTGACCCCATGGACCAGAGCATGACAGACCCTCCTGTCTTCCACTGCCTCCCGGAGTTGGGTCAAATTCATGTTGGTAGCTTTAATGACACTGTCCTCCATCTTGTCCTCTGTTGTCCCCTTCTCCTCTTGCCTTCACACTTTCCCAACATCAGGGTCTTTTCCAGGGAGTCTTCTCTTCTCATGAGATGGCCAAAGTATTGAAGCCTCAGCTTCAGAATCTGTCCTTCCAGTGAGCACTCAGGGTTGATTTCCTTCAGAATGGAGAGGCTTGTTCTCCTTGCAGTCCAGGGGACTTCCCAAGAGCCTCCTCCAGCACCACAATTCAAAACCATCAATTCTTCAACGGTCAGCCTTCTTTATGGTCCAGCTCTCACTTCCATACATCGCTGCTGGAAAAACCATAGCTTTGACTATGCGGACCTTTGTCGGCAAGGTGATGTCTCTGCTTCTTAAGATGTGGATGTTGAGCTTCAGACCATTTTTGCACTCTCCTCTTTCACCCTCATTAAGAGGTTGTTTAATTCCTCTTTACTTTCTGCCATCAGAATGGTATCATCTGCATATCTCAGGTTGTTGATATTTCTTCCGGCAATCTTAATTCCTGTTTGGGATTCATCCAGTCCAGCCTTTCGCATGGTGTATTCTGCATATAAGTTAAATAAGCAGGGAGACAATATACAGCCTTGTCGTACTCCTTTTCTAATTTTGAACCAATCAGTTGTTCCATAAGAAGGATTTTAATCCAGAATAAACCTCTGTCACAGAATAAGTTGTGTGAGATCATTAGTCTTTCAGATACAAATGTGCAGTGAAAGACTTTGCAGCAGTACAATTTAACTTAAAGCCAAAAATAAAATTAAAAAATCAGAAGCTGTTGAGTGAACTGTTTGTCATAAAACCTGTTCAGAGTTATTGAAAATACAGTTATGCAGTACAGTGGTGCCTTGAATAGCAAGGTTAATCCGTTCTGTAAAAAACCTCGCTATTCAAATTCATCGCTATTCAAAACGCGGTTTCCCATTGAAATGCATTGAAAGCCGGTTAATCCGTTCCAATTGGAATGAATTGCCGCCGCTAATGGAAAATCTCCATAGGAAACCTCGCTATTCAAAACGCGGTTCCCCTATTGAAATGCATTGAAGCCTATTCAATGCATCTCAATGGGGGGAAAATCCACAACAAATTAAAAAGAGTCAGAACAAGGTCAAATTGGGTTAACAAAGGGTTTATTCAGTGCACTTTACGATCTCAAACATTTCAAACCCTAAACCTTAACTTTAAACTCTTTTAAAAATAGTGATCGCGCGGCTGTTTAAAAACTCGCTAATCGAAAACAGGGGACCTAAAACGGACTCGCTATTCGAAGTGCGGTCCCAAAGATCACTATTCAAAAATAGCCCATAGGAAAAATCGCTAATCAAGGTGAAAAAATGCCCCGAAAACCACTTCGCTATTCGGTTTCTTCGTTAATAGAGGCGCTCGCTATTCGAGGCACCACTGTACATGAAATGTTATGTATGATTAGTGAGTAGACATGTTTAATAAACAGACTTTTAAAGTTATTTATGTCTTTTCCAGGAAGAATTCTGGTTTCACACCAGCAGACACAGTGGCCATTATCTTCTGTTCTACACACAAATCTCTAACCCTGGGTAAGTTTTTATGAGAGGCTGAGCTCAGTTTTTTAATATATTAACTTCCTGATTTTTCTTTTTCCCCAATTGGAAGCTCACCAGCATGCTGATTACCTGTGGAAGTTTGAGCCTATTACCATATGCCTTTTAATAAATTGATGAACAAGTATAGAAGTTGTATATCTGCTTGATTAAATACTGTCTATATATTAGTTTTATGTTTCCTTTGCCTAAAACCAATTTTATATATTGATATAAGGTTCTCCAATCATTGTCTCCAACATGAATCTAAACATCCTATTCCCAAACTGTTTTGAGTCCTTTATCTTTATGATTTACAACAGTTTTAAGCATCTTATGTAGAACTAAGACCAAATGTATATATTCCACCCTTTGTGAAAGAATCAGATTCTCAAGTTATATGCAGTTGAATTTTAAAATCAGGTCGCAGTGCTCCTTTTAGTTGACTTTGTCACGAAAGTGTTGTTCTGTTATCAGTTCACTGTATGGCAAGATGTAGTAGAGAAGCCTAACAATATTTGTAAATTCATGAGAACATTTTTGCAATAGGCAAGTAAATGTTTTCTAAAAGGAAGACAACACAGTCTGCACCTTTGGGAATTTAGTAATTGTATTGCAGTGCCATTAATCTGTTCCTTCTTTAGAGAAAGCAATTTGATTTTTGTCTTTGTTTTTGATGTTCTGTTTCTCTAATCTAATATTGATAAAGTTTGTGGTTCATTCCAGATTATGTTTTGAGTTATTACAACACAGTCAAACAGCAAAATTATTTTTGCTCAAAACTGTAACACACAAAGCATTTACAACATATAAAGAAACAGATCAATAAAGACAGCAGTGTTTTATCAAATATCGCTGTATTTATCGTAAAGAGTCTCCGGACTGCGTGTTTATTCATTATAGTACAATATTCAAAGATCATTGACTTGCTAGTTACTGAAAATTCCCTTGCAATAACACTTGTTGCAATAGAAATGTACAATAGATTTAATTAAAATACAATGACAGTTTGAGTGGGAGGCAGACTTGACTATTGCATATATATTTCTATGATTTTCTAAAGGAGATCAACAAGGAGTAAAATGAGCATTTTAATGTACAGTAAAGTATATAGATATTTGTTTGACAAACCATACACATTCATAGAAACAGATGTGATCATAACACAAAATACGTATTTGTACAGAAGATTAGCATATAAATCGGTCAGTGATCTCAAGTAAACATATAAGTGGAAGTTTTGGTCTCTCCATTAGCATGCTAAGAGCAAGAATAGTTGCGAAGATAGCATGGCTGTACCATATATAAGTGATGATGTTTGCTTGCTTATTTATTTATCTCATTCTTTCTCCAAGGATTACATAGATGTGAGGTCGTACTTTTCATGTAAAACCAGTGAGATGATTTAGGCTGAGATTGGAGATAGGCACGAACCATAAAAATGGTGGTTTGTGGTGGCTCGTGGGTAGTCACGAACCACTAACTTTCTGAACTTTTAAAAAAATGAAGCACTAACCATTTCATTTTTTCAAAAGTTTGTGCCTGTGGGGAGGGGAAACGAAACCCCCACCCCCTCTGCCACCTGCCTGCTCCCTTCCCACTGCCCCTTTTTCCTCCCTACCTGGTCCTTCTCCATTGCCATTTCGGCTGCAAGTGGGTGATCCAGCACCTTGTGGCCCCTATCCGGCTCTGCATAGTACTGGATCGGGGCCACACAGTGCTTAATCACCCATTTGCAGCCCCGCAGCCTGCCCCCGTCCCACTGCCCCTGTCGCCTTCCTACCTGCCCCTGCCACCATCTCTGCTTCCTCTATCTAAATGCCAGCTGCAAATGAGCGGTCCAGCATTGCATGACTGTACAGCTTACAGGGAATCTCCCTGATCAACTGGGAGCCCACCGCATGCACAGAGATAGTAGGTCTGGCTCACGGAAAGCAGCCACTCTCTCTGCGCATTTCCATGCCTGTCAGCTGGTAGTTAGGCGCATGCACAGAGACATGTCCAGCTCCTGGAAGATGGTGGCGGCAAAGGAAGAAGAAATCAGCAAGAAATAGGGAGGCAGTGGGGGCAGTGGGAAGGGGTGGGGGCAGGCTGTGGGGGCAAGGGGGCAAATGAACCAGGAAGTTCGTTAAATAGTTTTAAAAGTTCATTTATTCAATTCATTTTGGTTAATCCGTTTTGATGAACCTGAACCACGCTGGACCAACAAACCAGCATTTTTTTCAAACTTACTGGTTCTTTTTTGTTTGTTTGTTCTAATTGAGATAGAATGCTTTCCCCATAGCTAAAGAGCATATGATGCTGATGATAAGCATCTCCTCCTATCTGAGTCCATCATTCTTTTTATTACACTTGTGTCTTCCAACAACTATCGTAGTAAAAACAAATCTGAAAAATTGTTAGGTTTTCTGAAATCTGTCTTTCTTCAGCATTCAGTATCTTTGACTGGTGATATAGAAGTTCAGTCATCTCTACTTTCTATAACTGGAAACATTTTTGAGATTTTCTTGCAAAAACATAGCACTTAAATGGTGGTGTATTCTTAGCAGTCCTCTTTGGTGAGAAACAGGATCTTACAATAATTATTATCTTGTATTCTCTTCCAAATATAACCATATATCAGTGCACCAGGAAAGGGACAACATTTTACAGAATAGGGAACAGTTACCCTGGGGAAAATATTTATAAAATGCACCCATATTCCTCCCACAGTGACATGAATGATAGTTTTAGTTTTATTGAAATAGACATTTGGAGACCACTCATGACTCCCATCAGAGTGATTCCCCTTTTCTCTATAGCTATCTGTGGACCCTGGAAGGATAGCCTGAGAAGCAGATTGTTATATGTTTATTGTGCTTTTAGCAAACATCTAACAAACTCTCTGACCTCGTTTGGGGTTTTTTGTCTTCCCTATAACAATGATTTGCTTCCTTCTCTGGCATAGACACAAGAAGGAGTCTGAAAGCTTTTTCTTCTTTTTTAGATTAGGCACAGAGTGCTATATTATCTGAATCTGAACACATTGGTTATTTTAATTATAACTCTCTAAAGGAAGTTAACTTCACATCATAGTTCATTTTAGCTGGCTTGTTTAATCACACTGTCATTAAGATTAAGCATAGTTTAAAGTTGAAAGGACACACTAAACTACAGTTAATAAACAAGAGTAGTAGTAGAAGAAGCTTGTGATTCTTTATAGCAATGTCAGAAAAGGGAAGGGGCCCATGGAGTGTGAGTTCTTTCTTGTAAGACTGAAGTATGGAATAGTACTATATACAAACACTGCTTCTGTACCTGTGAGAATTCTAGTTTTATTTTATCTCAACAGAATTCACACCGAATTTTGCTATGTATTCTCCTGGGATGTCAGGAACTGCTGTTTGAAAGTCTAGCATTTGGTGGCTGAAATCCTGTTGCTTAGTGTGGTAAGTCACACTAAAGTAGACCCACTAAATTAGTGGGTTGCAGCCTCTACCAGTGTGGTTCTAAACAACTGCTGTCCCTGTATTGAATTTGCTAAGTAACTACTCATATATATATATATATATATATATAGAGAGAGAGAGAGAGAGAGAGAGAGGGAGGGAGAGAACATGGAAAGCTAGAGAAGATTTAGCCATAAAAAGCGAACAGAATCCCAACCTATCTTTGAAAATACACTTTTTAAAACAAAGTGGGTTTATTTCCAAAACTTGAAGAGGTTTCCAATGTGACTGCCCTAATGTTGGCTAGAGTTGAACAATCTGTCATGTCCTATGCTGATTAGAATACTTCTCTTCGCCCCCCATATTTTATAACAGTTAAATGCTAAAATTGGGATTAACAGGTTAATTTATTGCTTTTAACCTTTCAAAGTTCATTGGGACCAGTTTGTTTCATAGATTGCATACTCTTATTAAAAATCTGCCCAAACATCAGAGAAACAGCATTCAAGGCTGTGTATTCTGTCCTATCTCCATCAGAAATACTCAGAGCAGGTTGAAGAGACAGGTTTTTTTCCATTCTTGGAACCAATGCTATGAAATATCTATTCTGAGTAGATACAATAGAGTCAATTTCTTCCTGTTTCCAGGCAAGACCTGAAAACTCATTTGTTTAGATCAATTTTTAGTGTTTTATGCTCTATTCTTTTGAGTTCTTTTAGCTTTGACACTGCAGTACTGTTCAGGATTCTATATTACGTGTTAGGTATCATTTTAGAATCTTAGAAATGCAGAGGTGGAAGGGATCCTACGGATGGTCGAGTCCAGCCTCCATCAAGGCAACACAGTGGGGAATCAAACTCCCAACCTCTGACTCTGCAGCCGGATCCCTAATGCATTGAGCTATATGATTGTAATTGATTCGGGTCTCTGTAAAATTCTTTGAGTACACATACTACAGAGAAGTAGAACAATACAAGTCTTAATATTCTGTGTGTAAAAGAATATTTTGCATGGTAAGGGTCTTGTACAACTAAAATGTTTTCAGTTCTATCTCCTTGGTGGCATCAGGTGGTGAAGTGATTTCACCTGTTCGAACTACATGCTGCTATGGCAGAGTAATAATGACTCTTTTCAAACACCACTGTAGTTCCAGAGGGCTTCTTGTTAACTTTTATGCTTACTGACTAGAGATGGGGGTATTCGTATACAAATATGAATATCCCAGCGCAGCTGGACTTAATGAGGGTCCGGCCCCTAGGGTCGGACCGTCCACTCACATATCTGCTCCCAGCCCCGGCCTGGCCTTGCTCATCCTTCCAATCACACGCAGAGCACTACTCTCTTCTTGTTCAGCTGGCCACTTAGCAGCCATGTAGGGAGACTCGTCCCCCCTCCTTCTGCCTGGAGTGGCCAGCCAAGCAGATAGACAACAGCACTCTGGCCGCGATTGGAAGGACAAGTGGGGCCACTGCTGCTGCCAGATGCATGAGTAGACGGTCTGGCCACAGGGGCCGGATGCTTGTCAAATCCAGCTGCACAATAATATTAGTATGTGTATACAAATACGAA